GCCAGCAGAGACAGAAAGCCTTCCCCTGGAGCTGACGCCCTGAATGTGGACTTGTAGCCTCCTAGACCGTGAGAGAACAAGTTTCTCTTTGTTGAAGCCATCCACGTGTGGTATTCTGTTCCAGCAGCACTAGATGACTAAAGCAGATGTTCACCCTGGTGTTGTTTATGGAAAACAGACAAAAGACAGAGACGTGCACATGCCCGTCAGCAGGGGACTGTGGAACTCTGCCTATCCCGGCGAGCACCACGGGGGCCCTGAGAAGAGCTGCTGTTAGGTGAGCTGGGACGCGTGTGGAGGACGGTACGCAGACAGACAACACGCCTTAAAGGTGAGAGCACAACGTGAAGCATGTCCCCTGGCCAACTCTGAGGGCAGGGAGAGGCCTCAGGGGCTCTACCGAGAAGAGCCGACACTTCTCAACGTGCATTGCTTCGTTCACTAAAACAATCACTTGTACCGAAGAGAAGAACGAACAGCAGCAGAGAGAGAACTGGAGGCGGGCGGAGGGGGCTGGTGTCCGTCAGAGACGGGAGGCGGCACCCCGTGCTCCTGCGCTCTGAGGGGGAGGGGGGTGCGCTGTGTGGAGGGGACCCAGGGGGGTCCGGCCTGCTCTCTGGGTGCACCAGGATGCAGAGCTCCAAAGGACGCAGCTCTGTGTTGTGCACGCGTACATACATACACGTGTGTGTGCGTGTACGGGGGCCTGTGTGCACGTGAGTCTGTGCATACACACGTGTGTGCACGCATGCACATGGTGAACATGAACGTGTGTACGTGTGTGTGCGTGTACACAGCCGGGCGGCAGGAGGCCTGCAGGATGGGGCCGGCCCGGTGGCAGCGGTGGTCGGGGGCTTACCCGGCGGGCCCAGTTGATGAGGTCGTCCAGCTTGGCCACCACATACTCGCCCCGGCTGCTGGGAAGCGCTGTGGGCTTGGGGACCACGGCTCCGGCCTTGGGCACGGCGGGCTGGGCACTAAGGATGAGGAAGTGTTGGCTGGTCAGGGAGGCAGGCAGGGAGAGTGCTGCCACCCCAGCACCCTGCCCTCGGGACCTGGTCCCGAACAACCTCTCAGAGGCAGGACGCTGGGGGCCC